TACAAAGTTTTCTCTCAAGTATGTATGCATATGATATCCTCTTTAAATAGTGTCCCTGAGGCAGTTACTACAACCCAGGACTTTACAATCAATGGATATTTTACCATTGGCTTCAATGGGATGCAGATTGTAGCCATAGGCTAGCTCATTTCCAAGGTGCTTTAGTGATATTTGTTTAGAATCAGTAATTTAATAGTACAAAACTATCTATAAATTCATCCCAGTCCCAATATACTTACTTAAAAGTAAGTTTCATTAATATCCTCTTTAAGTACACCACCCCTCCTTTTTATACAACTGATTCCACTTTCCGGAAAACTCCAGAACAAACTACCTCAATTCTGATGCACAATCCCTTTAGAATCTAGCTGTTCGTGTTTCTCTTTTGCTTAGTTCTAAGCATAACACATGCTAAAAACAACAATATTCTGTCTATACCACAATCGCTTGCAAGCACAAATGCAGATGCTGGCATTATTGAAGGAGACTCAGGTTGCGTTGGAAGATACTAAACATTAAATCAACCTCTGGCCCTTCCGACACTTTCAGAGCTCGTTCTTACACTTCCAAATCCCCATCTGTAGTTTCAAATCCCCATCTGTAGTTTCTGGATCACTCACTTGCCTTTACTTCGAATTAATGAACTCCGGATTAAAAGAGCAAACGTGAACGTTGTGTTAGCATAGGCTTTTAAACAAAACCTCGGGACACCCGGAGTCTGGAGCAACTCCAGAGAGCCCACCCATCCCATTTCAACCACTTCTCTTTGCAGGACGCACCAGTCTCGCCTCCCAGCAAAAAGAGACTCCTGTAAGAACACAGGAGATTCCTTAGCCCCAGCAAGATCTCGATCCCCACCCTCCACATACACACACACCCTTCAGACATTAAAGAGTTAAAATAAATGACGGAAGTGGTCAGCATGTGTTCTTCTTTTCCCGGAACTCCCAATATCGCCAGTATTTGAACTTAAGCTCTGAGTAGGGACCAAGCTGACCGGATGCTGGAGTAGCTAGGCCTTTGGTTTGCTCAACCAAGGCTCCTACCATCATCATCATCATCTTCACCCCCCCACCCCATTTCTCCCTTCTTGACCATTTTGACCACTGGTTCAAGGCAACTATGGAGCTGGGAAACGAGTAAGGGGGGGCGGAAGTACAATTCCAGAACTTTAAAGGGTGGGAAATGTTTAATTGTTTAAATTCCTTGCCTTGCTCGGCTAATAGCAGGGCGTTGATACAGTGACGCAGTCAATAGTGCTTGCCCAGATAACAGTGGAGATGATCCACCGGGAGAGGAGAGTCGGGACCTACTTTATTTCGTGTGACTGCTCTTTTCAATCTTATTCCAAGTCGACTTCACCGGTGCGCATATTTCGCGCGCATGGGCGAGCTGTGGCGAGCCCTTGCAAAGAGGACTCGCGAGAATGAAACGCAAGCACGCTTATTAAGCAATATTCTAAACACGTGTGCAAATCTTTCAAGGGTCTGTGTGAGTGAAATGGTATGCATTCGTTTGTTTGTTTGTTTGCTTTCTTTTTCATTTATCTGGCTCGTTTTCTTTTAAGGGCAGGCCACCAGTATCCAAGGTTTCCTCTGAGGCGCGTGTAGAAAAAGTTGATCTATTTATTTCAAACGCAGGGGACAAAGCCAATTGGCCGATCTGATCCTAAGCACGCTTAAGTTTAAGTAAATTGCTTAGATACGTCTGTTGTGAAAGGTCTCTAGCCCACTGAGCTGATGTGATTAAGGCGCAGCACCAGCACCAGCCGCCTCTAAGGTGCAGGGGGAAGGAGGATGTGAGTCTCCTCGACAGCTTCTCGGCTTGTCTTGGGAGGGACAGGCCTCCCCCGACGCCCTCTTCTTTTGAATTGGGGTGAGCTGCAGCGCGCTCAGTACACATTCCCCAACCCAAAGTGACTCCAGTCCACACCGAGAGAGAACACAAGCCTGGACCGACGTTTTTTGGGTGTACCTCACCCGACACCCCACCATTGTTGTCTCGGTTTAAAACCGAGCTTCCGAGGCATCCTACCTCAAAGCTCTCGGGCCGATCAAATCTCGGCAGGCATCTCTTGATCTGCTCAAAGATGCCCGCTGAACCTCTGTGTCAAAGCACACTTGTTCCAAAGGAAACTGCCATTGATTACAACGAGCTGCTGCTCCTCTCTCTGTGTGTCTCGTGATGGAGAGACTCCAATCATTTATCAAAGCAGGAAGCCAAAAGAAAGGAAACCACCCCTCTCGGCAAAGCCAAGGCAAGGAACCTAACGATTTAGATTCAGGGTAATTTCTCCCCTCCCCTAATCTCCTCGCAGTATTTGATATGATGAATAACCCAATATAGGCCTTTAAAAATAGGTCACTGCATAAAGAGACTCCCAGAGAGCAATAAAAAAAGAGGGGGAAGGAGGGCGCTTTAAGGAGAGAAGCCCTTTGACTTTCTCTCGGTGTTTGTTGCCAGCATCCGCGCGCAGAGGACAAACAAACGGAGGCGCCTTTGGATGGGGATCAAGGTGGGGGTGAAGCGAGCCTGTCCCCCGTCTCCAGAGGTTCCCCTATGGTCTGAAAGAAGACCACCTGAGTGCTCAGGTTGGGAAGTGGAGAAAGGCATTAAATCTCCCCTTCCCATATCCTGTCTATATGCGCAGGGCGGGGGAACTATCCACGGATCTAAGACGGCCCTCTTCACACCGCGATACTTAATCCAGAATAACGGCAGCGGCATGTTTCGTACCCAGAGTCCCCGACACACTCCCGCACCTTCGTCCACAGCCAGGAACGAGCTACAGGAGCATAGATCTGTAGAGCTGGAAGGGAACCCAAAGGATCATCTAGCCCAACCCCGGCGACGAATAACGTTCTCGTTTTCGTCGCTTTTGCAACCGCTCTGTTTGCGAGGTTAAACGAAGCAAACTAATCCGCTTCTTTCTACCCGCGAGCCTTTGGATTTCACCGCAAACGCGGGTTGCTTCCTCTCTCTCACCCTCTTTTATTTTGTGTTTGTTCAGTTTCTTTGTTCCCCCTGGAACGATACCGTGGTTTATAGGAGTAGTTAAATATTTGCTCTTTCGGTGGTTGACTACAGAGCGGGGATCCGAACTCCCTTCTCCATAGGAGCGGCGGCGTTAAAATATGGTGCCTCTGGTTTTTGCTCGTGTTGGTAACGGGAGGCGTCGGAGAGATTTATGGAATTTTAGCTTTACAGACATGAAGTTTCGGGGACAGATAATAAATAAGAGGGGAGGGGATTGGGGAACGGTTTATTTCCTCTCACTGGAGCCTATGAGAGGAATATGGGGGGGGGCAGGCAGTGGGAGGGGAGGCACGGTGATCCCAGGTAATCATTTGTGGAAAGGCTCACAAGAGCTCCTAGCGCTGGAAATGCAGGCGGAAGAGTCACGTCCCCAGTTCGCGGGGTCTCTATTCCACCGGCTCATCCCGTCTCTATTTCCACAGCATCATCAACAACACTTGACTTTAACCGAGCCTAGAGCCAGCCTGGCTACACTGATTTCAGAGGAGGGGCGCGTGAGAAGGAGGGAGGGATCAGGATCCTAGTTTATGTAACTGGTTTCCACCGAAATAACTGGAGGGTTCCTCTGTTTATAAACAAAGGGCCTTCGGAAGGCTACATCTCTCTCTCCACCCCCCACCCCGCCTTCCTTTCCCTCGTTCCCCCTTCTTGAAAAGGGCTCGCTTCTCTCTACAGATCTCATAAAGGGCACGGGGATGTTGCAAGATCGCCTGCCGAATAATATCCTCATCATAACCGGAAACGTGATGCTGTAATCATATTTTCATCTCGTTCCAAAGGGAGAACCAAAATGGTTTCTTCTTTAACCGCCACTACTACCACCCCCTGGTTAAAACAAAACAAAAAAAAAACCCTCCTCAAGGAAAAGGATCCTGAAAGATTCTCGGCGACCCTCTGCCCTGCTCCCAGTCACTCGGGGAGCCTTTCTGGGGCGGGGGGAGGAGAGGGCAAGAAAAGCCTCCACCTCGCGGGTCCCCGAGCCTTTCAGCACCGTCACCACCAAAGAGCCGTATTTCTGCTCAGCTTTTGAGTGAAGCCATACGAGGCTGGTGTAGGGAAAGTGGGGAGGAGAAAAGAGAGGGTGGGGGGAACCCTCCTTGTCAGAATCATCTGGAGTTTTTAAGGGAAATGAAATATATCCCTTCCGTCTTTGGTGGCCCTTTGCACTTGAATTATAGCAGAGAAGGATTTAGCTAGATCTATAGGGGGACTGAGCGCTCTCGTTCGCTCTCCCTCTGCTGTCCTCTAGGTATTACCAGCGATGATATATTTACCGAAAGTCTATGCACAGCTCTGTGATCGCACCATCTTCTTTGACATGTAGAGATGATGGTGATGATGATGAAATAATAATAATAATAATAATAATAATAATAATAATAATAATAATAATAATATGCTTGAGCCCAATGAGATCACCCATACTACAAATACTGGAAAGAAACTAGTCTCAGCAGGAACTAACAACAGCTACTGCGTATTTGGTTATCTTGATCTCAAAGGCAGGAGGTCGCCATGTTACTTGGATCAAGGTGAAAACTCCTACACCAATACATCAAACAATATGTCAATATTTTCTTTATTTTGTTTTTTTAGAAAAACAATAACCTGACATAAATGGTTACAGAATTAGTACAACAGCGCACGCAAAGGCAGAGACGCTTTGCGTCCCCCTGTAGATAAATAGATAACACATAATAATTATTTCTTCCAAAGCATGCTGAAAGGAAAGGAAAAGCAGTACAAAAAGTTTATGTCGTAGGTCTTTGCCGCCTGCTAACCAGACGGGTATTTATTTATTTTTTAAGACATCAGCCACAACCATTTAAATACCGAATTAAAGGTACGGAATTACAACTTCGAAAAATAAAGTGCATATTATTTGGGGGGGAGGGGAGGGGGGAAAGCGAAAAAAACACACGGAAAAGATTAGAATAAGCTTTTGAACGAAAGATTTCCCTTACCTGGTGATCTGTTCGTTCCTTCTGCCTCTGGTTAGAAATATTATTTAAAAAAGAAAAAAGAAAAAAAAAGATTAATCATAATCGAAGTCGGGAGGGGGGGGGAATCTGGAAAGGAACTATTGATGGGATTTTGGAGGGTTATTTAATTTTTCCTCCAAGCACACTGTATTATCCTGATGCAATAAAGCCTGGCTGTAATGTAATTTTAAAATACATACGTCCAAGCAAATAGTGGGGACAGAATATGACAAGTGTATTTCGACATTATAATTCAAGTGGGCTCCACCTACCATCCGCCTCCCAATTAATGGCCTAACCAAGTTGCAAGAGCCTGCATTGGCCAGACTTGAGAGAGGGAGCTAGAAAGAGACAGGCAGAGCGAGAGGGGGCGAAAAGTGTCATTGAGGCGAAGGGATCGCCTCCCAATCAACAATAACTTGTTAGCAAGAGTCAATTACCTCGCCTCTGCCTCTCGCCGTCTTTTTTTCTCCCCCCAGCCCGAGGAAAAGAGGCTCTCCGGCGCCTCTCGCTCTCCCCTCGCTCTGGAGGAGCCCCCCCTCCGGATTTCGCTGGGGGAAGAGGGCGAGCTGGGGGGGCGAAAGACAGATCTGGGACGATTTGGGGGGTGTCTCCTAAAATAGCAGCTGGGAAGAGAAGCGAGAGGCGAGAGAAATAAAGTGGGACAGGAGCGCCTCGGCCACCTCTTTCCCAGCCAGGACTGCGGACCCTGCCTGGCCGTCCAAGGACGGCTTCCCACCGCCCTCCTTGGCCCCGTCCTCCCTCTTCTCTCTCCAGGGCCAGCAGACCTGCCTCCTGGTGGAGTTGAGGACCTGAAGTTTTGGGGAGTCTTTTTGGAGGGGGGCTCTTCTGATTTAATTTTTTTCCTCCTTTTCTTTTTTTCGCTCCCCGCCTCCTTTTCGGTTGCTCTGCGTTGGCGACTGCAGAAAAGCGAGGGAGGTCATTTCAGGCAAAGAGCGAGCGAGAGAGAGAGAGAGTAGGAAGGGGGCACGGGGGGTGCTGCGGTGGGGAAGGAGCCGGAATCCCCGACGCCCGCCAAGCATGACTTCCAAAGACGACGGCAAAGCCGCCTCGGTGGAGGAGCGCCGGAGAAGCCCGCTGGACCACTTGCCTCCGCCGGCCAACTCCAACAAGCCCCTGACGCCCTTCAGCATCGAGGACATCCTCAACAAGCCCTCGGTGCGGAGAAGTTACACCATCTGCGGGACTGCCCACCTGCTCTCGGCCGCCGAGAAGCACCCTCCGGCCGCCCTGCCGCTTTCCAGTCGGGCGCTGCTCTCGCAAACGTCGCCTCTGTGCGCCCTCGAGGAGCTGGCCAGCAAGACCTTCAAGGGGCTCGAAGTCAGCGTCCTGCAAGCCGCCGAAGGTAAGACCCGCCGCACGCAGTTCGGGCTGATCAGGGGCTCGCTGCCTGCCCCCTTTCCCTGCCTGCCTTCTAGCTGGGGGTGGGGTGGGGGTGTTGTGAGGGGAGAGAGATGGTGGCGCGTTTGTGGAGAGCATCGGCGGAGAACTTGGCGCTTGGAGGATGGAGGCGCGGCGAGGGCTTAGGGAGGACCACAGATGCGGGTTCTGGTCTGGACAAGAAGGGGCAGCCCCATCTCTGGCCCCTACAGCCACGCCGGGCCGTTTTGAGAGGAATCCCGCAAACGCTCTGCGGTTTCTTGCCCTCCCCCCTCCCCCAGGCGCAAACTATGTCTTTAGAGAGGAGGCAGCCCACGCGTGAAATCGGTGTGACTACTGCAGCCTGGTTTGTGCACCCAGTCGGTTTCGGCTCCCCCTTCCACCCCGCCCGCCCAAATTATCCTTCTTCCCTCCGGCCTCCATCAAGTCCCCTTGGCCATTAAGATGTTGGGGGCGAATAGTAGAGGCCTACTTTCCTTCTTCTGGGCTGGGATTCGAGAGTCCTCCTGGCTGAATCGGTGGTTTGTTTTGCTTTTAAATTCCCTTCTTCCAATGCAGTTAAGGGAACCCCCAGAGTAAGGAGAGGGGAGGAGGAGGAAGATGGCAAGAGGGGCCTGCTGGTGTTTTTGGGGGTGCCGGATGGCTTCCTATCGCTTTGTGGCCTGGGAAAGAGCAAGAGAGAGAGAGAGAGAGAGAGACTGGATAAGTCTCGTTGGGCTGCCTGTGTGGGGGGTGAGCGTGAGACTGAAAAGCCTTATTCTGCCTATTTTCAGGAAGGGATGGGATGACTATATTTGGCCAGAGGCAAACCCCCAAGAAAAGGAGGAAGTCTAGGACGGCCTTTACAAACCACCAGATCTACGAACTGGAAAAGCGTTTTTTGTACCAGAAATACTTGTCCCCCGCGGACCGAGACCAGATAGCGCAGCAGCTGGGCTTGACCAATGCGCAGGTGATAACGTGGTTTCAGAATCGCAGGGCCAAGCTCAAGCGGGACCTGGAAGAGATGAAAGCAGACGTGGAGTCTGCCAAGAAACTGGGACCCAGCACCCAGGTGGATCTGGTAGCCATTGCCGAGCTGGAGTCGACCCCCGAAGGGAGAGCGAAGTCGCGCTCCCTTTCGCCTGCCCTCCCCAAGCATGGACTGGAAGGCAGCAACAGCCACCTCCAGCTCTCCCCCGGCTCTCCGCTCACGGACCAGCCGGGCAGCAGCAAGGACTGCTCCGAAGACGAAGACGTGGAAATTGACGTGGATGACTGAGGGGTGGTGGTGGTTGCTTCTTCTTCTTCCTCTTCTCCTCCTCTTCCTCCCCCTCTTCTCTCCCGCCCTTCTCTTGCCCCGCAAACAAAAACAAACGAAGAAATTGACAGATCTCTTCCTCCCCGCCTTCCTTCTCCTCGCGCTCCCTTCCACCAAGACACAAGGAGAGAAAGTGTCCGCTCCTGCGCCCTCCTCATCACCCGGGGATAAAAAAAAATAAACAGAACAGAACAAAAAAACAAAACAAAAACAAAACCCACGCCGGACTTTAGGGGGAACTGCAAATCAGCTTCCTTGGCGACTCAGTAAAGGCGGTTTCTTTTCAACAAAAGCAATAAGCAATATAAAAGAATCACAATTATTGTTAATTATTATTATTAAAGTAGGAAACAATATCCCAACGGCTGCCAAACCAGGTAGCTATCACTTTTTTTTTCTTTTTCTTTTTTGGAACGGTGCAATTATGGATAGCTTCTGTATAAATATTTAAGCATATCTAATGGGTATTTTCTTTTTTTGAGGGTTTGCCTTTTTTAAAAAAAGAATAATAATAACGATATACTTTTTTGTTGTTTATAAAAGGACTCTTAACCTTGGAGTAAATGCCACCTCTTTGATGCTTGGTTAGACAGTTGTTTTGAAAGGTTTTCAAAATCCACTTTATGTGAGAATTAAGTTAAACCGTAGTTCCCTTTGCTCGCATGCTCCCTATATGCACGATTCTTCCCCACCCCCCTTTCCTTTGGCTTTTTTGTTTGGTTGTTTAATTCTCAATTATTATTATTATTTTTCTGGGATATCGGGGGCTTTGGGTTCTATCGCAAGTTTAAAATATATACTTTCTTTCCCACCCCCAGCGCCTAGGACTCGGTCTCCAATGAGATTTCTGCCTCGTTTTACCAATTAAAAGCTATTTTTACCATTTACTGCTATTGTCGTGCTTTTATTAAAAAGGAAAAAGAAAGCTACCTTTCGTATTTTTATATGAAGGTAGTTTTAAGAAAAGAATCTAGACTTATTTTTTACTCTTTTTTAGAATTCTTTTGCATGCTACCGAAATAATAAGACTAATACCGCTGCTCAAAATGATAATATCAACAATAATGAAGAACAGATCCAGCCATCAACAGATGGGAATATTAACGCTATAAATACAAATGTACAGGTTTGAAATGTTTTTCTTTGATCTGTAAAAATATTTTTTTAAGGCCTGCTTATTTAAGTTACAACAGGGACGGTGTTGCTTTATATCTTGTCTCTTAGAGTTGTACAGACAAGTCTTTTTCCGACACAATAAAACCTTTACAATTTTAATATACACTTTTTAAGGTTTTCTTTGGGAATGAAAGTCTTTAGATATTCCATTTATCCGTTGTTATATATAAAAAAATGTTCCTTTCGTCACTTTGGGGAGTGATACAAATGTGTTTCAGCTTTGGGTGTCACCAAGTTGCCAGCATTTTGAGGTGGCTGAACTGACAGCAGGAAATCTGCATTTCATACAGGCTACACGTAGAAATCTACTTAGAACTGAAACTGTATTTCTTTTTTTGGGTGGGGGCGTTATCTTAAAGTAATAAGGCTGGTGAGGCATGTAAGTCACCAAATCCAGAAGCATCCGTGGATATAAAAATAATGGCTTATAAAGCCGTGTGTGTGTGTGTGTGTCCCCACACATACACCATACACTTCCATTCCAAAATATAGTCTATATAGAAAACACGGTTAAGCAGCAATACATCCGTGTTTTGCATATATACGCATTTCATACGTAGCACACATAGATAAGAGCCCTTCCCTCAGTTTGCATCTAACAACATTAAAAAAACAAACAAACACAATAATTGAGAACTATCCCTAAATCATGGCGGAATCGTCCAGTGTTCATAAAGACAATTAAAGTAACATGTTAGAATCGCTTGTTTTAAGGGGGCGCGGGAGGGGACTGCAAAGGGAAACCGGGGGTTAAAGAGAAAACGGAGATTAATTTTTTTTCTGCAGAGCTGCCAAAACAAAAACAAACAAACAAAAAACCTTCAGGTAATTTTTGCTTTCTTTACTATCGCGTATGTAGCAAATGCTAATTTAATTTACAGCTCCCCCTTTATGTCTTTCTAAACGTGTGTCTCCCTTTCCCCCCCAAATACCGCGCCCTGCCTTTTTGACCCACCAACGTGGTGTTTTTCCCTATTCTTGGTAAAATTTATGTGAGAAGCACAAATCTGGTGTACATAGTGGCCTAGTTAAAAGAGTGGGGGGGGAGGTGGGGTTGGGAGAAGGAACTGGGTTCCGGCGACGAGAGGGGGGACAGCGTGGCTTGGAGGGGAGGGGAGAGAGAAGAGCGTTTTTGGGGGGCCAGTTTCTCCGAGGCGAAATCAATCTTTCTCCTCTTTGAAAATGGATGGCGTTGTAATTTTTAGCGTAAAGCATGAAAACTGGGGACAAATGAGGCCTCTTCTGTGAAGTGACAAGCGACAATGGAGCATGCTCTGCCTCCTGCGGCTCGCCATGCTGAAACAAGCGTGCGCCTCCGTCGCGAAAAGGACCGAACCGCTTGGAGACCATATGGTTTTTGAATTTTCCT